TGATAGTAGTTTTCATCCAATAAACTGTCTTTCACAGAGCAAAAAACAACAACAAAACATGAATAAATAAAACAAATTATCCCTGGGAACATGAGGCATCCATATGGAAAATTTACAGCATGAAGTGAGTACAATCCAAAGAAAATTCCCAACAACTTATAACAGAATACGTGTTTGCATAGCTACACACAAAGTAGAAACACTCAGAATTTGTTAAAGGATTATGAAAAAATATGATGCCACATTTTACCTTCTTTACTAACAAAAAAGCTATAACAATCAAAAATGTGTACAATACTTGTGAAAGAATGAAAGGAATTAGAAGAAAAATATAAAGACAAAAGCAGAAAAGTAGCCGGGCGTTGGTGGCTTTAATCCCAGCACCCTGAAGGCAGAGGCAGGTGGATCTCTGTGAGTTCAAGGCCCGCCTGGTCTCCAGAGTGAGTGCCAGGATAGGCTCCAAAGCTACACAGAGAAACCCTGTCTCGAAAAAAACCAAAAAAAAAAAAAAAAGCAGAAAAGTATTGCCAAACTTTAATCAAAAGACCAAAGAAAACTCAGGTAGGAAAACTGTGATTTTGCCCAATGTTATGAAGCTACCTATTATTCTTTGTGTAGAGAAACTAAATAGACACATACTTTGCATCTCCCCAAAATTAATGCAAAGTGAGCCTTAGATTGTTATGTTTCTGACACTACAGCTATTGACATCTCCCAAACAGGGGGTACCCATGTCAAGAGCTCTCTGCAAATAGAGGTGATCTTCTGGTATAGCTCCAAAAATTCTCATAGCCCCCTATAATTTCAGTCAAACACAGCCCTACTGATGCCCAATATTAAAACAATGTAGAAAAATAATTTTATGTCTATTTCCTTCCACATGGATTATGTTAGATGAAGTGGAATCTACCCTATCTACCTACCCAAACACCATGGACACCTGAAACACCTCTGCGGTTCAGAACATTTTTTTTCTCCCCTTGAACTGAACTTCCTTGAGTCAAGTCACTATGGGTGCTGATAGTAGAAACTTAAGACAATTCTGATCATGTATTGCTGAAGGATGAACATCATCACTGCTTTCTACACATTCCTGAACTATCTGTGACATTTAAACACAAACCTGAAAGTGGAATGAAACATTCAGAACTTCTACAAACCAGAATTTCATTTTTCTAATTCCTCTTCCTATTGTACACCAAAAGAGATGCCTCTGTGTGTACATTGGACAGTGACATATGCATCATAGCCTCTGGTAGCCAGGGTATAGAACCTCACCCTCTTCAGGGAATCCACATAGACAACAAAATCCAATCTGTTTCATGATTTATCCCAGTCCCAGCAATGGTGGCAGCTCATCAAGAAAGCTCCTCCTGCTCTGTGACAGTAAAGACACTGAACACATACTCACCAAGTCATTGCTTGTGGCCTCCCTCACAGCTTCCTGCAGATGTATCAGAGGAGAGCCCTAAAATGATTCTGTAAGTTCCCTTCTATTGCTGCTTGTGATTGCTAAGCCTTCCCCAGAGTAACACAGTAGATAGGGCCCAGCTGTCTGTGCCTCAGGACATTGGCATCTTCCCTACAGAATGATCAGAGATCAAGTGACTCCCATAGCACAGGCCTTCCCAGATCAGCCCTTCCAATCCAGTAGACAGAGCCCTAGTCTGGGGCATGGAATTTTATTAGAAATTCTTGTAATCCTCCCAGCACTTCCTGTTCCTCTTCCAAGGCACAGGGTCCTTTGTGTGTACATTCTTTACCCACTCAGGGTCCAGCATAGGGAACCCATTGCTTCAGAGATCTTAAGTCTTATAGCCAAAAAGACATTGCATTACAACAGCAACTGTGGTTATTGTTTAACTGTTGTTAAAAAGAAAAGAGGCCATGAATGAGAACAAGGAAGAATCCTGGTAGGGCTTGGGGCAGGAAAATGACTGTCTACATGATGTACTTAAAATCTCCAAGAATTGTTTTCATAAGTTGAAATAGGATTCATGGTCATATACTCTAGAGACTAGGGATTTGTATGACCATGTACCAAAGATTACTCATTCCATTTCTATCCACCAGAGCATCTTAAACCAGGAAAATAACAGTTTTTCAGACATGGCCACAACATTTTCCCCAGACTTTCCCTTTTGGTAGAAGTAGGGTAAAGCAATAATTTGCTTCCATAATAAGGTCAGTTTTCTATCCAGAAGCTTCATTGATCTTGTGTATGGACACCAATTATTGGTCAGTCAGAACATTTATTGGTCCTCTAAAATTTATTACATAACTCCACACTGCTAATATTAATTATTGTCAAAGCAAAAAAGCCCTCATCTTGCTGGCTGCCTGTCCCTTTCTGCACTTTCACTACACCAGGTTCAAAGTTGTTCAATGAGCTCAGTACTTGCCCACACTCCTCTTCATTTGTAATTTCCAATAAAAGCCAGAGAGATTAGAGAACACTTACTCACTCATCTCTTTTCCTTTTTACTGACCACTCAAGGCTCAGCCTGGAAGGAGTAGCAGAACTGCCTTCCCAGCAATGAGAAGCGGAGGCAGGATTAGGTGTTCAAAGCAATTCTTAATTATATAGTGTGAGGTAAGCCTAAGATACAGGAAGCATTGATCAAACATAAATAAAAACCAGCAGCAACTGAGAGAAAAGGAATCAAACCATGACTGATGGATGCTGAGATCTGTTACCTGACACAGAGTTACAGGCAATGGCCTGTTTCTCAAACCTCTGAGTTGATTTTCACTGTGTCAAGCAGGACTGGACATATATGCATAGAAGAGTTCCCTATGTAAATTCAATATCCAATGGCTCAATCCAACCCTTTCAACTTGTACACCCACTAAGCAGCTTTGTCTTCATTCACATGGCATGAATTCATATATGCTGTGAAATTACAAAATCACTTCTGTCTGCCTCAAATCATATCCTTTTCCCAATGGTTACTCCAGCAGGTGACTGTCTATCATGTTTCCCTCTGAAGTTTACTCAATACATGATTGTTTCTAGACTAGTCTGAAGGCAGAATCCATGGTCCACCTGCAATTCCTTTTCCTAGGAGTACAATGGGTAGAGGAATACATGACTCAAATGGGTAATTTTAAGACTGAGGTGGCACAGTCATTTAAGAATTTTAAGGTTGCAAAATAGAGGACAGCAATGTTGTTCACCAGGAGAGCCACAGAATGGTATTAAGGTCACCAAGGTTGACATTAGAGAGCTTGTCTCAAAGACATTTTTCTAAAAGGCTGGAAGTGCAATGGTTCTAGAATTAATCTCTCCTTTCAATGGAGAGATTACTCAAAAATTATGAGGAAAAATCTCTATACTGATAGCATGCGTACATCTCTCACTAATGCTCAAAGAAGAGAGAGCCTAGAACAGATTTTCACTCCATATATACTGTCATCCTTAAGTGTCTTTTAGGTTAAGGCTTCAAGTAAAACCGGGGACAATTTAAATAGGGACAGGAGAATGCAAGTGTAGCTGCATAAGTAGATGGAAGATTTACACAGTAAAGATATTCCAAGAATTATTCCTTAAGTATACCAGTGACTTGAGAGAGCAGGCCATAATTCAGGGACACAGTCCTTAAGGGCAAGTGCCAGGGGGTGAGAGAAAGGAAAAGTAGAAGGTAAAAACAAATCAAAGCTGGGCAGGGGACATGTCACACAAGCCTGTCTCATGCCAAGTAAGCTTCTTTAAAAGGTAGCATGTTGTATACTACTTCCAGAGGGGAAATGGGAACTTCTCTGAAGCCCGTAGAAACGGACACACAGTGGGACAGACTCAGCAGAAGGCCAACCAAACAATGCTGCACAAGGGAGCACAGGGTTTCTCAAGAATATTACTGACTGAGCCCACAGTGGCTTTGGGACTGATAATCACAGTTCCATGTGGTTGGATTCTCAGGATCTGAAGCAAGCCTACCACACAGGTCCTGACCCTAGACCATAACCAACTCTGGCAAGAACATTCCTGGTGTCAGAAAATGAGATGAATTTCATTCTCAATCCATCAGGCTCTTAGGATAAGCTCCCAAGGTCTAAGCCTCAGGCTGTTCCTGGCACTATTAAGCCTTTTCCTGGGTATCTTCTCTTTATAGGATGGCCTCACAGATGACTTGATTGATCAGGATAGCCCCCAACACAACAGTGTGTTTCCTTTTCACAGGGTTGTCATCAGGTATCTTGCCCATCTGGAAGAACTATGCTTTCTATAGGAGAAAACGAACAGGACTTGCTGGCTTTGATGTCAAAATATTTCTACACACATCTCCCTGTGTAGGTGCAGTTTACAGAGACAAGTTATTCAGTGGCAGCCACCTGCATCTGAAGGGACCAGCTTCCCTTTTGGCAGCCATAATGGCCAAACACGTGCTTCTATGACCTTGTCCTAGACACTAGAAAGTCAGATGCCTGTTTCGTGACAAGGAGCCAATCAGAAGTTAGCTGGTGGTGCTATGCTTTACGACCCTGGGTGTGCTTTTGGACAAGCGCACAGCAACCACCCTGGGAGGGCCTATGGGCCATAACAACCAGTTGACCAATCAACACAGGGGAAACCCTCCAAGCCTGGAGGCACACCAATCCTGAACCTGTGCGTACCCCTAGACACTCCCCTTACGCTGCCCTATAAAGATCTGTGCGCAGCGGCTTCAAACTGTCTTTGCTAGCCATCCACCATGGTGCGTGGGTCAAAGACCCGAGCTAACATGGGGTTAGCTCCTTAAACTACAATAAAGCCTCATGCAATTTGCATCAAGCTTTCGCCTCCATTCTGTGATTGGGGTGGCCGCAGTCCTGGACTAAGATTCTGGAAGCCTCAGCTTTCCGAGGGTCTTACACATCCAGGGAGTCTAAGAACCACATGGGACTTCACAGGACACCTAATCTGGCTACAGGGCGGGAAGCAGTTCCTGGGAGGACTTGCTACACCAGCTTTCAAGGCTCAACAACTTCTTCCCTTCTGAGTCCCACAGCCCATTGCTCACCTTGTCAGGGCTTCCCACCTCGGCCATGCTTCCTTCACAGCTCCTCACAGCACAGCACCCAGAACCACTGGCCCTGCTCCACGACAAAGCCAAACATTCAACATGGCACCTGGAAGAGGCCTAGACCACTCCTGACTGGCAGGTTGGTCTTCAGGTCCTGATTGGCTAGTGAAGCCTGAGGGACCGCAGCACCTCCCTTAGGGTTACAAAGTGCTTAAAGACACAGCACAGTGGTTTCTGGCCCTGCCTTCTCACCCAGACAAAGATCTTTGCCAGATTTGGAGAGATTTGCATTTCAATAGCGCTTATACCAGGCTGCAGTGGCTGACCTTGCTCGCTTAAAAGTCTGTATTGTATTATAGTAAGACGTATCTCAAGTATATGCACATACAGCTAAAAATAAAAAAAAAAAAAGAGTTTGTTTTCTTGTTTGAGACAGGATCAATTAGAAAACCCCAGCTTGCCTGGTTCACACTCTGTTATGTTCAATGAACAATATATATTGAATTTTTTTAAAAAAAACAATTCCAGTATATATTTCATTCTAACTATTTGGCTCATTATTCAATGCATCACATTTTTTCTATACAAGGGGGAGCATCCAAGCAATTTTCTTTATATTTACTTATTTTATTAGAGGTATGGAAGTGGGAGAAATTTTAGTGTTTTCATTCCAGGTTGTTTTCCTTCATCACATTATTCTCCACACTCAATGCCAAGTTCTTCTTGAACAAATTATACTCAAACATTTTAACTAGTTTGTTGTAAATTAAGCTCTTTACACATTTTCTTTTAATATTAAGACCCCAAGTGCAGAAGCCAAATCAATACCATCTAATGTAAATATTCTAGCTTTTAGTAACCCAGTGGATTTTTGAGAATGTTTTTCTAAAATTGTTAGGAATTTTCTCATAATTGCGTTTTTTGAAGACCACAATTTTTCTAATTTTACACTATTATAGTATTGTTTCCTGTGCTATCAAAACATTCAGTTAAATAGCCATTGTTGTATGTTACAGAAAATGAAGACTAACATGCTAAAGGACAGGTAAAGCCACAAGCCATGTGGCAATACATAGATTAATAGAAATAGGTTAATTTAATTTGAAAAGCTACATCACTTTCTGTCTGGAGAATCAGTCAATCAGTGTTTTATTCATTAACTAATGAGGAAAACATTTATGCAGAAGACATTACCCATCAGTGCACCCTACAAAGTACTCCAGCCTCAATCTAACAGTTATCCTGATTTTTTTCAATGTTTCCTCAAAGATGTCAGTGCACCAAAACAACAGGAAGTAGTCTAGATAATAATGTTCACCTTCTCAAAAAATAGGATGCTTATTATCATTTAAGGGAGATTGGTTACAAGTTCTTACTGGTAATGGTCAAGAAAAAAGCTAAAAATGAAGATTAAATTCAGGGATCTCTTCTACAGGAAAAAGGGGGAATATGATATAAAATGATAGATAAAAGGTAGATTATTGAAACTTCTTTAATCCAAAAAACAACTAACCTTAAATTTTTACATTGGTAAGGAGTTTTGTATATTGATATAAATTTCAGGTTGTTTTTCTTATACTGTATATACATTTCTACTGTGCTTTAAGACACTTTTGTATATCGATACCAAATTAATCTTATTTTCCTTACACAGCAGATCTGTTTCTATTTTTTGCCTAAGGTATTACCTATATAGCATGTGCCCATACAACTTGCTTAGTTATACAATATGAAGTTTTAGTCCTTAAAAGCTATTTAGGGTAATAAGAAATGTAGTCTAATAATCACCAGTAACCTTCAAACTTATAGTCAGTTAGGTTTTGAAAACCATAGAAAGATATACTTCAGATAGGTAGGTAATATTCAAATCCTTCAAAGATCCACATAATATGACATTTAAAATGTTCTTATAACTTACTCTTTTATTAACAGGAGACATGTCTCTTCCTGGTGGCTCCAATCTACTTCAAAAGAGGATGATGGCCATTGAAGAAACTCCATATGGAATTCTCTTCCTTCCTTCCTTCCTTCCTTCCTTCCTTCCTTCCTTTTCTTTCTTTTTTTCTCTTAGATTTTGAGACATAGTTTTTCTGTACCTTTGAAACCTGTCCTGAAATTGGCTTTATAAATCAAGCTTGGCATGAACTCATAGATATTCACCTGTTTCTACCTCCCAAGTACTGGGATTAAAGGTAAATGCCACCACTGCCCAGAGAAATCTCTTTCTTTATGACACATCTAGCCATTTGGACAAGAAACTACACTTGTCTCAACTGCTAGCAATATGATGTCCAACCTAGACAAGTAGGAAACAAAGAAAGGCAACTGCTGAACTTTGCCAAGACAGGGTAGGACAGCCCTTTAGAACTTCCTGCTTCTAAAAAAAAAAACAGGTTGTCATATATATTAGGTCTGTAGGTCAAAGTTAGAACTTCAACATCACAGAAGAACTTAGGTTGGCTGTCCAGAAAGCCAGATGTTCCTGTCATTAGGTAACATTACACCCTTCTGGGTTCTTTGCTGGACCCCAGATAGATATAGTTTTCATTATTTGTAAGAGAAAGTGAATTAGGTACAAAACTTTGGACTCACAAAGAAAAAGTAGATAATATAGTACTTTCCCTAAATTTGCCAAACACAAATGGACTAGAAATTATAAACATAATTCTTACTTAATAACTGTTTTTGTTGTATATAGTTTACTATGTTAAAAGTAAAGTCTCCCATTTACTTAGACAAGAAGATGGAAATGCTGTGGAAGATTCTTATTTGTACATGATGAATATGTGTACAACTCTCATTAGGTAGGAAAGACCTTACTGTCCTGCAGGGGTGCAGGATGAGGTTAAGCAGGTGAAACAGACTAAGAAGATGTTGGTGGGAAGAAGGCAGAGTTGCAGTCAGAGTAGAGTCACCAGAGACACTCAAAGAAGGAGATGAACATGCCATAGCAAGAAAAGTTACCAAGCCACATGGCAAAACATAGATCAGAGATATGGGTTATTTTAATTGCAAGATAGCTAATAACAAGCCTGAACTGTTGTCAGCATATTTATAAATTATACAGACATTCCCTGTTGGTTAGTTAGGAGTGGGCGGTCAGGATAGGAAAAACCCACCTACATATTTCATCGAGTTTGATGCCTGAATGGTCTATGAAAAGAGTTCCAGGACAGCAAGAATTACATATTAAGATCCTGCATCTCCTGCAAAAGTCAATCAAACAGGGCTGGAGAGATGGCTCAGAGGTTAAGAGCACCAAATGCTCTTCCAGAGGTCCTGAGTTCAATTCCCAGCAACCATATGGTGGCTCACAACCATCCATTATGAGATCTGGTGCCCTCTTCTGGTGTGCAGATATACATGACAGCAGAATGTTGTATACATATTAAATAAATAAAATCTTTAAAAAAAGACTTAAAAAAAGTCAATCAAACAAAAAACAAACAAGGTAGAAAGATTTTTACTAAAGTTACTACACAGAGTTATGAATTCATCCCAGTTCTTTATTCATCTACCAGAAACCTGAAATGTCCCAGTGTAAAGTGTAACATTAGTAAGATGTTACAAAAAGGGATTGATATCAGAAAAGTTGCAAAGTACAGATGAATATATTAGAAATGAATATGGTGATCCTAAATTAACAGCAAAGTACAAGAGAGATAGCTCAGCAGTTAAGATCTCTTACTGATCTTACTGCTGGGTCACTCAATTAAAAGTACTCACATGGGTGCTTGCTATCCATTACTCCAATGTCAGGAGTTTTGAGCCCAACCCGTGACTACTGTGAGGACCAGGCACACATGTGGTGCATATCCATGCATTCAGACAAAATTCTCATTTAGTCAAAAAATTTCAACTCAAATTCAAAAATTAGGGAGAATGTACTCCAATAACTCAGAAGGCCCAGGTACAATTACTGCCATTAACACATGCCATTCTGAGATATAGTATGATAGATACCTTTTGCCAAATTGTAAGAGTCAAGATGTGGGTGAAGCTCAGCACAAAACTATAAGCTTGACACACACAAAAACCTACTTTCAAGGCCCATCATCCAATAATACAGAAACAAATAAAGACAAATATGTTGGCCTCCCCTTTAATTCCAGACCTTGGGAGCGAGAGTCAGGAGGGTCTCTGAGATGAGAGCAGCCTAATTTACAGAGCTATATTCAGGACAGCCAGTTCTATGCAGAGAAACCTTGGCTTCAAAAACAGAACAAAACAAACCTATCAGATTAGCAAAATGTCTTTGCATTGAATAGCAATTGCTTCTTCTGTATCTTATGTGATACACAGTATTCTATACTGGTGGTAAAAAGTTTGAGAGTATGTAAAGGATGCTGTCTGATCAGTTTCAACTATAATAGAGTAGACACAAAATGAGACACAAAGATATATATGAATATATATATATATATATTCAAGATCAACATCAACCCACAAAGAATCACTGGTCAGCCAGCAATCATCGTTATGTTGTTCAGTTTTCTCTTTTGCCAATAATAGAATTTTGATTGGGCAAGGAGGACTCTTCTACAAAATTCGAGAGATTCCCTTGAAGCCTTTCTATGTTTTTACTTTGTAAAAAATAATTTTGACTACCAAGAGGATCTCATTCTCTTATGATGAAGAAAAGGATATCATTAGGGTCACTTGGACACCATTTTGTTTCCTGTGATTGACGACAGGATGCAAGTCACAGTAGCCAATGAAAACTTTTCCAAATCAAAGGTAAGATAACAGATTTTTAAAGTAACAATGTATAATTTGTATTATACAGTTACAGCAACTGGTTTTATTCAAATTGATTTCTACGAAACAACAACTTTCGAAAGAAAGTTTAACCTCATTTTGTGTATGTTTGTGTGTGGCAGAGAATGACTTTCATGTGTGTGCAGGTGAAATAAAAGAAAAGAGTTGGTAGATCTACTGGATGTGATAGGTGGTTACCTGCTGTGGAATAATTCTATACACTATGAATGTGTAATACTCTCATTGACAAATAAAGAGCTGATTAG